AACTCACATCCCATTTTCTGAGGTCTAATACCTCAATGGAACAAGCTAATGCAAACTCGGAGGAAAACATATGCTTCAGGACTGCCACAGGGAGACCTCTTGAACATATATAAAATTTCCATTATATAGTAAAGATCATTAAGGAAGCCCCTTGTTTTTCTAAAGATGTAGGGAAAGAAAGAGCTAAAAATCTGAAGGGGACAAGAACTACCCTACTTCCTGCAGAGAATCATTCTGCTTTTGATGGAGCAGTATATAGTAATAGGACTGTGGAAAGTGAAAAACTGAGTTCTTTCCTCACATGTTCCTCATTAACTAAATGCAAAGGGAGATTTAAGCACTTTCTCTTGAAATGAGATTATTCAGGCCACAACAGAAGGAGCTAAGTAGAAATACATGAGTCAGATATTCCCGTAGCTTCCAGATCCATGTACAAATGCTTTCCCAACACTATTGATTGGCAGAGACAAACAACAACAAAACCTCAAACTTTAATCTGAAAAACTTCCACGTCTGACTATAATGGAATAACTTGAAACAGACCAAACTCTGACCAACAACAAATAGAAAAGGTAAATAAATCAATAAATAGTTTATGAAGCCACCAAAGCATCCAGGTCTTGAGGAACCAGGACCCTAGATAAAGGATATTGGAGAAATAAACCCGCCATTTTCCACAACTTTCGTTTCGAGATATTTGTGGACTCCTAAAAGGCATGGAATTACAAGCTAACAAACTGAACACGATGCAGAGGCCAAAAGGGTGAGAAAATGAAGCAGAGTTTTTTGTCCATCTTACAATGATGGAGACAAAAATCAGAGTTTGGAATCACCAAAGATGCTGAGAAAAGACTTGCTCTAGGGCTATGCGAAAAGAGAAATGGTACAAATTACTAATGTAAGAAATTTCAAGGGGCAACATTGCTACAAATCTTATACATATTAAAATGATTAGAGGATATTCTGAAAAACTTTATTCCAATATATGTGAAAAATTAGAAGTTGACAAATTCCTAGAAGACCCAGTATTAAATTACTGAAGAGGGAAATTTAATAGTTCTATGACTCGACCGACAGCACATAACAACAACTATTACAGA